TATGAGTTCTACACATGTGGGGTTTAGTCCCACCGCTGAGGTAGTTCGGTATTAAAGGGCGTAGTTGTCGCAAGTTTAGTAGTGGCCCAACACGTAAAAATTACTTGGAGTACATTGTGCCTCGTATGAAAGTGTTGCGAGTAAGTAAAAGATTTACTCGAATTAATTATTGCTTAAAGATTTTGTTGTGAAATAAAAACTTGTGAACTCACCAACTCTTGTAGTTGACACTTGTTTTGACGTGCTTTTCAGGGGTAAGAAAGGCTCAAGGTGGCACTTAAAAGAAGTCGTGTCACAACTATTACCTTTAAATTTATTTTTGTGTTTAATTTACAAACTTGTCTTTGGAATTGTAAACTTTGGTTAATGGTGTAATTAAATTTTAAATGTATGGTTGTGTTTCTTTATACTCTATTGCGACGAGACTCTACCTGTCATACCTCGTGTTTCCGCTTTAGCGGGGTGTGACACCTTTTGGCCTAAAAAATGCCCCTTCTGAATTCCAACAAATTATGAATGATATTTTTTATCCTTATAGTAATTTTATTATTGTTTATATTGATGAGATTCTGGTTTTTTCTAAAGACATTGAAAGTCATTTCAAGCATTTGAATATATTCAAAACTTTGGTCATTCAAAATGGTTTAGTCATTTCTAAACAAAAAATGTCTTTATTCAAAACAAAAATCAGATTTCTAGGTCATGATATTGAAAAGGGAACTATCACTCCAATCCAAAGATGTATTGAATTTGGAGATAGATTTCCTGATCAAATTCTGGACAAAACTCAACTCCAAAGATTTTTGGGAAGTTTAAATTATATTTCGGCCTATATTAAAGACTTAAACAACCATACAGCAATTCTGTATGATCGCCTAAAAAAAATTCTTGTAAATGGACTGAAAGTCATACTTTAGCAGTTCAAGAAATTAAGAAAAAGGTCAAAAATCTTCCTTGCCTTATGCTTCCTAATCCCCATTGGGATAAAATAGTTGAAACAGATGCCTCAAATATAGGATATGGAGGAATCATCAAACAAATTAATCCAATTTCTAAACAAGAGTTTCTTATCCGATTTTATTCTGGAAAATGGAAAGGCGCTCAGTTAAATTATTCGGCTGTGGTTAAAGAACACTTTGAAATTGTTAAATGTGTTTTAAAATTCCAAGATGATCTTTACAATCAAAAGTTTTAAATAAAGACCGATTGTAGCTCAGCCCAATTTATGTTCCGTAGAGATTTTATGCATGATGTTTTAAAACAAATGTTTGCCAGATGGCAAGCTCATCTTGCACCTTTTGATTTTAATATTCAACATATTAAAAGGAAAGATAATCATCTTCCAGATTTTCTAACCCGTGAATATCTGAAATGATTACAGGTATGAGCTCAAATCAAAGCTCCTATTCCTCTTATAGAGGAAGGGGAAGCTCTTCAGGAAGAGGAAGAGGCAGAGATTCTCCTAATAGGGGAAAAACCATATAATTGCCCGAATGGGAAATCTGAAGCTTATAGCTTAGGATCTCTCTCATAGTAGAGATTCAGTAAAAGAATTTTTGGACAGCATTCCTAAAGATCATCCGTGTGCGAAAGAACTTCTTAACTATGCTAAAGAAATAGAGGAAAAAGAAGCAGCAGCCGCTTCACCCTCCTCTTATGCTAATATTAGCAAAGAAGATACTTCTAATTCCTAGTTCTATGAAACTACTTTCAAAGAAGTTATACTTCTTATTGAAGAAAGAGATCTCCAATGGAAAAACAATCCAGATTATATTCTAGAAAGATATCTTAATAAGACATCTTTTGTTCATGGAGCAGTCAAACAAAGACAATATTATGAAGGTCTTTTGTTGTCTACAAAATCTGTGGAAACTATCCATCACTCTACTAATAGCAGGAATGAAGCTTATAGTTTCTCAAAGCTAGTCATAAAAAAGATCATATCTGTTGAAGAATGGGGCTTCTCCCCTTTGGCTGAGAAAGAATGTTTTTCGCCTCCTCATAGGAGTAATTTTAAGTTTAATTACTGGGATTATATCACCAGCTTCTCAAAGATACTTCTTTATGAAAATGAGAACAAGAAGCATTCTTGGTTTTTAAAAATTTGTGAAAATTGTTTCCACTTGCCGGTTCCTAACTGGTTTTTTACTTGGTGGAGAAACTTTGGGACTTCTTCTGAGATTTTTCCAGAGCCTATGAAAAATCATTTAAAGGATTGGATGAATTTTTCTCCTACAGTTAATAACTGTAATTCTTTATATGTCATAGAAGGACGCAATATTTGCTTGTTCTTCATTGAATTTGGTTTCCCATGGATATGGAAATGGAAACCAGTTTTTGGTTACAATGATATGATGATCCCTTGTATTAAAAGACAAGGTCTCATAAAATACTGGGACAAGCTGGATAGAGCCAAACCAGATTCAAAAGAAATTGAAGGTTATGGTCTTTATAAAAACCATTAACGACCGAATTCAGCTTTATAAACAAGAATTCGAAAGAGAACAGTTTAAGAGGGATTCAGAAACCCCCAGTCCTTTTAAGCAGATTATTCAAAAGTACGCAGTAACTCTTTCTAAAGAGGAGATAATTGACCGCTATATTGAAAAAATGAAGAAGGACCTCTATGATAATGTGGGACACGGTCCATCCAGGTCAGATGCGTCTATGGCTTCAGAACTTCAGCAAGATGCCTAAAGTGCTGAAGACTCAGATGAAATAATCATCTCTCTTGATGATGCACTGGAGACTTTAAAAGATTCTCTAAAATAGGGAAAGTAAAAGATAGCCTACAAGGCATATTTTCTTTTTCAAAGTAGCTTTAATAAAGCTTGGAGTCTTCCGATTATTGAAGGACAAGATTTATTGTCCTTGGGCCCAAAATTATTGCCTTTATTATTTGCTTTTATAAAACTTCCTTTACAGCTGTCCCAAACAGCGTATTTTCTTTTCTTTAAAAAGGAGGTCTGTCTCTCTTCTTAAGTAGGTTTTTGAATTACGAAGTCTAGGAGTTTTTCTCTCTTTCCAGTTTGTAAATCGTTGAAGCTTTTGAATAAGAAATCATCCGACGGGCTTTATTCGATGGACTTTAGTAATTCCTTTTTATCTTATTTCTATCATATCTTTATATATTATTTACTTGAAATGATAGGTTAAACAAGGGGTTTTGAGTTAAAACATGATTTTAATTAGATATAATTATAGATTTACATGGATGTTTCATTTGTAGACTTTATTTATTATAATTTAGCCTTTTACCATGTACCAACTTCCCCCGACTCTCACCCGCTCAAGTCCAGAAGAGCCGTTTTAGGGTATCTTATCGGATTCAGGAAGGTTAACTGGGTGGTAAATTGATAAATTTAATAGATTCTATATATTGCATTTTTTGTTATTTTACTTATAAAAATATAAAAAAAAAGAAAAAAAAGGAAAAAGAGGTGAGTTTTTATTTTTTCTTCTTTTATATTCCTTTTTGTATTCCCCCTCCCCTTCCCTTCCCTTCCCTTCCCCCTTTGACTTACACCATCCTGTCCACCTAGGGATGGCAACGGGGCGGGGATTGCAATCCCCGGCCCTGGCCCCGGCCCCGGTTTATATAAATAGTCCCCGGCCCCGGCCCTGTCCCCGGTCAACTTTCGGTCAATCCCGGTCAACCCCCGGTCAACCTCCGGTCAACCCCCAGTCAACACCCGGTCAATTTAAAATTAATAAATTTTTTCTAAGCATGATCAACATAACAACATAATTAGTTAATTACATCATATCTAATCTTACCTAATAAAAATAATAAAATTATAAAATTACCAATAATCCAATAAAATTGTAAAAGCCCAAGTCCATAATAAATCTAAGCCCAATTATATATATCACTTATAAGCCCAAATAATAAAAATGTTTAATATTTATATATATACCGGGTACGGGACGGGTTGGAGATACAATATCCGGCCCCGGCTCCGGTACCCGTTTTAGCAGGGAATCCCCGTCCCCGACCGGGTCGAGTGAATCAGGTTCCCCACCGGGTCGGGCCAAATCACCATCCCTATGTCCACCACCTCCATCAACTGAATTCGTACACAAGGAAGAAGACCATCATCACCACTGTTACACCGCCACTGTTCACCTATCATCTGTTTTCACTCACTATCACCACAACAAACCCATTTCTCCCTTTTTAACCTAATCGGACCAAAGAAAGGAAGAACAGTAAGCATTATTGTTTGACGCATAGCAACAGGAAGAAGAGAGAAACAAGACAACCAATTTTTTGGTCTCAATGTGTTTCATCGAACACTAGGTACGCTTCTCTTTGCCCTATATGTGTTCAATTGAACATATATTTTTCTTCTTTAATCCTTAATCGAACAGTAAGTGCACCATTTCGGGTTTCGGTAGGCTTTGTCGATGAAACAAGTGCGAATTTGTGGCCCTGTAAGTATGCTTATCACATACGAATTTCTGTGAACCCTGTGTGTTTAATCGAACAGTAAAGAACAACAATTTGGATTTCGGTGCGATTTTGGGGTTTGAATGCTTAACAGGTACAATTTTTTTTGATCCCTGGATGAACCATGTACAATGGGAAACAAATTTTGATCTTGGTGGTCGTATCTGAATGTTGGTCCCTGTGTTTCCTGTGTTTTCTCAAATCGTTCATGTATGAGTCTTTAGGGAGCAGAAAAGAAACATATTTTTGATCCTTGAGGTTGTCTCTGATCACACAGAAACAATGGGATAATTGATTTTGGTCTCTGTGTTTTCTTCACAAATATAGGACTGTTGGTCCCTGTGTTTTCTTCAAAAGAAACAAAAATCAAATTCCTGTGTTTTCTTTGTTCAAACAAAAGCCTAAGGCCCAAATATGAACAGATGTGGTTCATTTGTGATTGTTTAAATCAAAGAAATTGGAAGTAGAATCTCTGTGTTTTTAACCATCAGCAGACCCATGGCTACTGACCTGCTCATGAAAAACAGATTGTTGGTTCCTAAGGTGCTACATGGTACCTAAAGTTCAAATTAGAAACCTGGTAACTATCATTAAGGGCATCTGTGGTTATTGTGTAAGTCACAAACATGATTTTGGTCCCTAGGTCTTGATTCTTGATAAGGAAGAACTTATTGAAAGAAGGGAGATGTGGTGTTTAAAATAAATGTTAGTCATATTTTTCACAATAACAGGGACTGTTGCTCCTTGGTTGGGCTAAACAAAATTTGGATCAACACTGTTACAAATGGCTCCAACATGAGTCCCTGTGTTTTTCACAAATGAAGCATTCTCCCTAAGCATGGTTTCTTTCTAGAACAATAGCAGACAGATTTGATTACCTTGATTATGCTGGTTCCATTTGACTCTGTGTTTATCTTGATTATTGGTTCCATGTGACTCTGATTCTGATTGCATCTGTTTTCAAACAGAACACAAACCTGATTTTGGTCCATGTGTGGTTGTCATTTTCCAAGCATTTGAAAACAGCTGCAAGCAGACTGTTTACTATATGTTTGTCTTGAAATTATGTTGCTTTTAAACTGTGTTCATGTGTTTTGAATGTTTGGTGACATGACTCTAATTGTCTAAATTCATATGTTTCCAGGCAGCAATCAAACCTCATTTTGGTACTTGTGTGTTTGTCATGAATATGGTCCCAAGTGTTTTAAAAACAACAAGAAGCTGATTTATGATCCTTATGTCAGTCTCTGCTCATATTGATCAAACTGTCTATTTAACATGAAATCCTGTATGTTTTGGGTTACTACCAGTTATAATCATGAGATTATGTGTGTCTTGAGTTACTGCTTGTCACAATTTTGGTCTAAGTATTTTTAAAACAAAATCCTGTAACACGATTTCTGTTTTTTATGCTTGTCATAAGCATAATTTTGACCCATGTGTTTCAATACAACAGCCATGAACAAGTTTTGGGCTCTGTGTGTAATCTTTGTATAAGCAGAATTCCTAATTTGGTTCTCATCTTTGTGCAGACAGGCAGAAAGGTCTGAAATGGATGACCAACCACCACCACCAGGGTTCTTACACCCTTCCCGATCATCCATTCCTCCCACTGAACAACAAGCCATTCCCACTCCACCAAATCTAGCCAACTTACCCCCATGGTTGCTTAAATCACTTTTAACTGGTCCAAAACCCCTTAGAACCATCAGACCCACACCAACAACCCCTATTCCCATTGCCCAACCCACCAGTTTTGTCTTACAATATCAAAACCCACTACCACCCTCCACCAAAAAACCCCCTGTCCCCACTCTTGTAGAACCCACCAAAACAACCCCTGTTCCTACTGTTATGAAACCCACACCAACAACCCCTACTCCCATTACTTTAGCATCACCCCTTACTATCCCCATACAACCTCAACCAAAATCCCATTGTCCAGCCACAAGGTCTACTGAGCGCCATATCACAAAACCAATGACTAAGGAGGAAGGAGATGCCATATATGTAGAAAATTATGTTCCAAAAGGTTTTCCTAAACCAAAACCAAAGAGGGCAAGGGCAAAGAAGCTGAAAATCGAGGATGAAAGCATAGATTCCCAACATTCAGGACTGCAGGCTACATTAGATCAAACCTCTCAAGGTATTGAAAAGACTGAAAGCACAAAGTTTGATACTTGCCACATCAACCCCATTGTAAGTCTTTCTGACTCACCATTCCCTAAGCACACACACACAATTGGTGCTCAAAGTGATTGCACCATAAAAAGTGATCCAATTCATGTTGAGCATCACGATAGTCAGGAAATACTTGGTGATGATTCCATGTTTGATATTGATCTAAATGCATATTTTATGGAAGATGTTGAACTAACTCATTTACTTGAGTGGCCGGAGTCCACAAGTTCCACATATGCTATCATACTTATGGATGCACACACCTCACACCACCAGTTTAATGATTCCCATATGGTAGATTTGGGGAAGGTTGATTTGACTTCTCAGCACTACACTCCCCCACCCACCTCGATCGCATTTTAAAAATCCATTCTATGCACTGCCCCCTTTCCTCATTTACATACCTACATCACACATGATCATTGGGCACAAAATGCTATTATGACCATGCCACCAACAACCAGCACCTACATAACACCACTTGTGAGCACTACCCATGATACCATCCCCGAATTTCAGCCAACTTTAGCCCCTTCTTCTGATCTTTCTAAAGACAAATCCAATGAGGATAGCAACCGCACATCTAGTGACTCTGACTTGGTTTCTATTGAGAAATTCGTCAAAAAAAGAAGGGCCGAGTCCGAAGACTCTGATTTGGACTCCTGATGAGGGCATACCGCTGTCCCAACTTAGGAGATCCACAAGGCAGCATGTAGCATCCAGCCCAGCCAGAAAAAGTGCCCAAACTAGAAGATTGGACAACCTTAGTGAGAGTGGCCGGAAACCAAGGAATTTCCAGAAATTCAAGACTATTTTGGGGTTAGGAGAGAGAGGGTTTGATAGAAGTTGTCTTGAGACATACCCATTCATCAGTGACATTATCATCCAAAGGGGTTGGGAGGCTTTCACAACTGTGAGAGAGCCTTACTTCCTCAAGTGGGTACAAGAGTTCTATGCCTCAGTCTCATCTACTCACACTACCTCGGTTCATATCCGAGGTAAAAAAGATCTCTTACTCTTCACACACTATCAACTCTTTCTATGATTTGATTGCACCTCTAGTTTGTGAGTATCGCAGGTTGTTACATGATCATACGGAGGAAGATTTGCATCTCGTACTTAGTGTTGTGGCAAAAGAAGGCGCAACTTGGAAGTCACCCCGAAAATGCAGCCCGCTTAAATTCCAAACCAACCTTTTGAAAAAAATGCAGCTGTTTGGAATCATTTTTTGGGATACTCATTTCACCTAACCACACACAATTTGAGCATCTCACTAGATCACATGATCTTACTGTACTGTATTCTTGCAGGCAAAGCAGTTGATGTAGGGGCAGTCATTTCTGATTCCATTCATGGATGCACACATAAACCAACCGGTCGACTTTAGTTCCCGGCGTTGATCCATGGTTTGATGAAAAAAGCAAAAGTATCGGTACCACCCGGCCAGGCATTAACAACAAATGCACTACCCATTGAGTGCAAGACGGTCGACATAATTTGCAAAACACCCAGAACTGATTCCGGACAACCTCTTATTGTACCAGACAACAACCACACAGATAAGGAATTGATGCTTGAAGTCAAACGATTGAAGGAAAAAGTCACCACTTTGGAGACCACTTTGAAAAAGACCACTCAGTCACACAAAATAGCAGTGGAGCAAGCATTGGAAGCACACAAAAGACAAGCTTTTTGCAACGATGGAGGAAAGAGATGCGCGACTAATGGCCGATTTAAAGAACATGATTTTTGGGATGTCGCTGAGCACCGAAGACCCATCCATGGCACCTACTCCACCCGAGTAGACAAGTTTGTCTATCATCCCTTTAGCTCCATTTTTTTCCCTTTTTCACGAGTCTGGGAATTGTCTGTGTTAGTTTTATTAATATTAGCATTTTTTATGGATGGAAATGTATGGCCTAATCTTCACTACAACCAACTTGTATTTATAGCTTGAGTAACTTAAAAGTTACGTGAGTTTGGGTTCTGACTCACATTGCAGTGCAAGAGTTGAACGAAACTTGGTTCCACTTGTCACTTATTTGGGAAATGATTTAGGCCATGTCTTCTTCTTTATAATGTTGTTTCATCTATGAACTTTGATTGTCCCCAATTTTTTTTTACCCAAATTCATAGGTGAATCCATGAAGTCCATTGGTGAAACCTTGATTTTTATTTAAAGTTCATAATGTTATTTCATGTATGAACATTGGTTGTTCCAAAAAATTTACCAAGTTCATATATGAAACCAATAAGTGAATGAGATAATTAAGGAATGTGATAATTAAGTAAATGAGATAATTAAGGAATGTGATAATTAAGTAATGTCGTATAAATATATGAAAAAGATGAAAATACCCTGGTTAGAAAAGTTTGTACTAATTAGGCAGTTAACAAAAGAAGGCGTCTCTTTATATACAGTGTTGGGTTCAATTAAATATACAGTCTCTTTATATACATTGTTGGGTTCAAAGGCTAATACACAAAGTGGTTACTCAAAGAGTGATTAGAGGCAAAAATGATATTAATTTCGATTTTGAATTAGAAACCTACTTTATTTGAAATTTTCTTTTCTTTTTTTAACTTAAAAACCTTTACTCCCTTAATTTTTAGATTAAATTATCTTAAAAGTAACTAATATTTTAATCAAACAAATTAAATTTAAAAAAAAAACGAGCATTTCATTTTTTCGGTTTGACATCCATCTCGATATTTTTTTAACTGTTTTTTTTTATGTGAAATGATATATCTATGTAATATTCATTATGAATATTTATATGTTCACGTGTATAAAACAAGTCTTTAGTATTCATAAATCAGTCTGATATTTATCATGAATATATAACTCACTATAACCTTCATCATGAATAGTTATGTATTTTCATATGTATACAACAATGTTTTGTATTCATAGATTACTATGATATTCATTATTGATATACATTTTCACATAACATTCTTAATTAATGTAATTACTATTTATCTTGAATATTCATATACTTTCACGTATATATTATAGTTCTTTAATATTCATACTTCAGTATGATATTGATAATGAATATACTTACTATTTATCTTCAATATTTGTATATTTTCTTGTGATACGACAACTTTTCAGTATTCATACATCAGTATGATATTCATCATGAATATATGTTTTCACTATAATATTCATCACGAATATTTATATATGTTCATGTCTATAATTTTTTTTTTCACTATTCAAACATCAGTATGATATTCATCATGAATGCACATTTTCACTATACCATTTATAATGAATATACATGCTATTCATCATGAATATTTATGTATATTTACATGTATACAACAACTTTCTAGTATTCATATTAGTATGATATTCATAAAAAAATATTAATTTTCATAATAATCTTCACCATGCATATACCACTATTCATCATAAACATACTATAGTTTTCATCATACATACTCTAGTTTTTTTTTCTTTATTGGGTTCTCGATTGGTCTCAATGAGTTCCGAATCGGTCTCGACAGGTTCTCGATTAGTTCTGGTTGGTCTTGATCGGTCCCGATGGGTTCTCGATAAATTTCCCATCCATCTCGACAAAAGCTAACAGTGATAGCTTATGGTTTTATATACAAACACATAATAAATCGATCGATTGGTTCTCGATGGAAAAATAAGTTGGTAGGTTATGGTTTTACATATATAAACACACACAAAATCAATGGATGGGTTCTTGATTATTCTCGATCGGTCTCGATGGGTTCTCGATCGGTCTTGATGGATTCTCGATCGGTCTTGATGAGTGGTGGGTTATGGTGATGAAGAATGTGCCAAGTTACGGGGTCATTGAAGAAAGTGGTTTCGGGTTACAGACTTACAATATTGAAGAAAGTGATGTCAAGTTACGGGCTTATGATATCTAGCTGATATATACACCTGAATGTATATCAATATTCATAATGAATATTATATATATATATATATATATATACATCATTTTACGTAAAAATGGTTAAAACGAAATAAATTATATCGAGATAGATGTCATATTGAAAAGAATGAAATGCTCGCTTTTTGATGTAATTTGTTTGATTAAAACACTACTGATTTTTAAAATAATTTAGTTTAAAAATTAAAAGGGTAAAAGTTTTTACTTATAAAAGTAAAACAAAAAATCATATAAGTATTTATGGAAACAAAAAAATAAACTTTCTTTTTTCCTCCAATCACATTAATTAATCATTGTAGTTAAAAATAATATTTAATATAAATTGTTAGATTTTTTCCTCTAATCACATTAATTAATCATTGTAGTTAAAAATAATATTTAATATAAATTGTTAGATCAAATAGAAATTCTTTCTGTTACTTCGTTACATATTAACGAGTTACTTGAAAAGCAAAATTACTCTAATTTATTACTAAAAATTATAGGAGAACAAAWTTTCTCCCTAGATGATCATATTTCTATGATTCATCAAAAGATTTCTCAGCTTGAACAAAATCAAAAAAAGTTTGATATTTCTTCTACTTCTGAAAAGATAATTACTATCTCGAATTCTTTTCAGCCCCYTCCTGAAATAAAAAATTTCAAATTTAAAACCAAAACTGAAGAATTTATGGAACAACTTGATTTAAAACTTTCCAACCTGCATATTTCTAAACCTTCTGTTTCTGTTCTTGATAAGGATGACAGCTCTGGAAACTCTGATACTGATGATCAAAATAAAGATCAAAGTACTAATCAGATTCACAAAATGAAGTGGGCTAGTAAACCTACTTTAAACAAATACTATTATGACCGCCCTACTCCTATGGATGTTCTTCATGAAGAACAAGAGTACATTATTAACAATAGTTATAATGGTAAATGCATTTATGAGTGGAGTCTTGATGGTTTTACTGATAAACATATTTATAATATGGCTCATCGCATGAYGATGTATAGTACTGTTTGCAAGAACTCTGGTAATACTGATAAAAATATTGCCAAGATGATCATTGCAGGTTTCACGGGCCAACTCAAAGGTTGGTGGGATAATTATATTCCCGAAGACCAAAAAGAACAGATTTATAAATMTGTTAARTCAGAAGATGGTCAAGAAACAACAAATGTTGTTTATCCTCTTATCTTAACCATTATTGAGCATTTTACAGGAAGATTTTCTGATAATAGTGAAAATATTAGAACCCTGATCAGTAATCTTAGATGTAAAACTTTAACTGATTTTAGATGGTACAAAGATACTTTTTTATCCCGTATCTTTGAATTAAAAGACTGTAATAACAGTCATTGGAAGGCAAAATTTGTTGATGGTCTTCCTTATCTTTTTGCTGAAAGAATCAGAAAGAATTTAAAGAAAGATAATATCTCTGTCAATTATGATCATTATACTTATGGTCAGTTAATTAGCACTTGCGTGACTGAAGGTCTTTCTCTTTGCAATGATTTAAAATTAAACCACCAAATCAAAAAGCAAAATATTTTAAAAAGAAAACAGCTCGGTGGTTTCTGTGATCAATTTGGAATGGAAATTCCTTTTAAAAAAAGAAAGTCTCAAAAAAATCGGGATAAAGATTATCACTCTTTTAAAAAAACGTTTTAAAAGGAAAAAGTCTTTCAATAAAAAAGATTCTAAAAAATCCACAGATGATCCTGATCTTAAAAAGGATTTTCCCAGAAAAAGAAGATTTAAAAAATTTAAAAAATAAAAAAATTATTTGTAAAAATTGTGGTAAAATAGGTCATTCGTCTACAAATTGTTGGACCAAGAAGAAGATCAATAGTTTAGATATTGATCAAAGTACGAAAGACTCTCTTTTTAACATCTTTTTGAATTTTAATTCTGAAGATGAAAACCAAAGTGTCACTTATAGTGAAAATGATATAAATGACAGTGATACTATTATTTCTTCTACTTCTGAAGAGTCTGATTCGTCTCCTTGTGATTCTTGTGCTATAGGAAAACCTTGTGCCAAAAATTGTCTTAACGTTATTGATAATAAGAATGATGAGTTTTATAAACTCCTTTCCCAATTCCAGGATTTAAACATAAATGTCTTGACTGATGAAAATGTTTTAAAAATTTAAAAAAAAATAAAAGATCCTATTGTTTACTCTGAGATTTTAGAAAACCTAGATTTTGAAAAACCTAGTCCTTCCTCAAATCATTCTTCTATTCCARTCAATAATAACATTGATTATTCCATGAAGGAAGTTAATAGACTTCTTCAAATCAAGCATTCTAGAGGCAGAGAAATCTCGATTCATGATCTTAGCAGAGAAGTTAATATTTTAAAAGAAGAGATAAAAGTTTTAAAAACTGATAATCTTCTTCTTCATAAGCATATTTCTATTCTCCTTGARAGAAATGATAAAAACTCTGATTTTATAAATGATGCTTTTGTTAATATCCCTTCTTCCTCTCAGACTCATGAAGATTCTAATCCTCGTGATGATGCTACTCTTGCTACCATTAGCAAAATGATTTCTCAAAAATGGTATACTAAAATAACTCTTCTTATAGATGGGTATTTTAAAAAAGATTTTATCGCCATGATTGACAGTGGTGCTGACTTAAATGTCATTCAAGAAGGCCTTATTCCTAGCCGTTACTTTGAAAAAAACCTCCTGTTCCCTTTCTCATGCTGGAGGAGGCTCTTTGGATATTAATTTCAAACTTTCCAATGCAAAAATTTGTATTCAAGACAGTTGTATTTCTACCAGCTTCATTCTAACCAAAGATATCTCTCATGAGATAATTCTTGGATTACCTTTTATCCTTTGACTTGTATTAATGAGAATGGCCTTATAGGAACTTTTAACAATAAGGCTATTAAATTCAATTTTATTGAAAAACCTATTAAGAAATTTCTTGATAGTCTTCAAGATAGGACCGATAGAAAGACTTTCCATCTCTATTCTCTTAAAGAAGAAATATCTTCTTTRAACATTGATGGAAAATTGTCTAACCCTCGCTTACAAAATAAAATTGATTTCATTTATAATGACTTCTCTTTAAAAATCTGTAATGATCATCCCAATGCTT